TAGAAAACATCATTACTGTCATTCCCACTGCTTTGCTCAGAGCTGGGGACAGCCACCACCTCTCCTGCACCTCAGACCCACATGGGCCTCCTGGGACTTGGGCCAGAAACACATTTGGATGAGCTCACGAGAGCTGCACTGGATAATGATGCTTCGCCATATTCTGTTGAGTAACTCTTGCAATGAGGAAAAGGCTTTTGACACTAAAATTCATCATGTAGAAGGTATACCATTAAGGGACAAATATGGGAGGTAGAGAGTTTTCAGAGTAGATTCTTTTTTTAAATTTATTTTTTGACAAAGAATCTTCAAAGTCCCATGGCCCATCCCCATGCCAGGGGACTGTTCCGTCAGCTCCCAAGGCGAGGAACTCACGCATCCGCGTGTGCCTGTGGCTTTTCTGCCCTGCTTCGTTAGTATTTTCCCTGGCTTCTCTCTGCCTCGCTGGCCCTTTAGCCACTCCTTCACAAACACACACACAAAGACTCACAAAATAATAGCCAGCAAAATGTCAGCACCCACAAGTGTCTTGGCTACAGGCTGCTGTTATTTCAACTTTCTGGTTTCTTAACGGTCTTAATTTTCTCAGAACAGTTTGACAGACAACGGTGTTTCTGTGCAACTCACGAAACAAAATAAAAGCTCTGATATGTTGGACCCTGAGACTTCCATCTCACCTCGTTATTCCTTCTTTTTCTAATCTCTTAAAAAGGGTGGGCTTAACCAGCCAGCACCAGCCGTAACCTTGTGACAGCTGGCGAACAGTGGCTTGGCAATCCACGAGTGGTACATCAAAGACGTGAAGAGCTTTCTTTCCCCTTTCTTTTCCTTGCCTCCTTTTCTCGGCTTTGCATGAGTGAAGAAGGAACAAGACTGAACTTTCTCAGCTGAAGCTGAAATCTAGCACCTAAATCCAACTTCTTCACCTTGAATAAGGGCACTTTTCACCTAAGGCGTTTTTGCAGGCGGAATGAACAGAACAAGCTGTCTAAACGACTCAAAAGCAAATTAATACAATGCAAGGAGAAAAGTGAAGGGCAAGTTGTGTGTTTAGACACGCTGGCACTTGTATGGTCACTATCCCATTCATTAGTCTTTTCCCTTTCTTCTTCCTTTAATCTTGACATTTACTTTCGTTAGGATGTTTAATAAGGATGCCACACACTGACTGCTTAGTGCCACAACTGTGCTGACAAAATCCTTCAAGCCTGTGAGTAACTCTACGGGAATAGAAGAGCTGTCAAATTTACTGCAGTGTTACTTTGGAATAAGCTATTGCAGCAAAACACTCTTATATTGGCATGGTTACTTCCACAGGCTTTTAAAAAAACAACCCCCCAAAAAAACCCCAACAAAAAAATCAAAGAACCAAAACCTCTCCAAAGCCCCAGATCTGTTGGAAAAACCTCTGTTTAGATGCAGGTCCCAGCAATCTCCAACAAAAGTTACAGTTACTTATGTGGCACTGGAAAATCAAACAGCAACGCCAACTCCTTGCAGAGTTATCGTAACAGCCTCTCCAAAGGTACTCTGTACTTCATCTTGCAAACAGAGAAATTGGACAGATTAAACGGTAGGATCATGTTACAATTTGTTACCTACAGTATCTTTATTTCACTTCTGAGATTGTTATAAAAACAATATAACATTCATTCTTTCACTTGGCAAAGACATCCTTTCCAAGTCATGCTGCACAATCTTTTCAAGAAATGAAACAGAAGCTCTGCACTCACGTCACAAAAATATTTTGAATAAAAATATATTTTTTATTTTATAACACATCTAATCTGGAGCATCGAGCAAACTGGCAACATCTCATTCTAGAAACATGCTTAAAAATTAAGAAACTAGTCTACATAAGATACTGCATGTTAACATCCATCACATGCTGACTCCAGTTGCTCTTCAGAAAATAAAATACCATCCTCCCCCGAGCTGTCTTTGCAGTCCGAGTATGGAGTCCCCTCTGCTCAAAGTCCTTACTACTGCCGGCATTTCTGCTCTGGATGCACAGATGGTGATGGAGAAGCGCCAGATCATCGCTCACACGTGGGTATTGAGGGGAGGAAGTGCCCCACGGCCCACAGCCTGATCGCAGGAGGTGACTACCGCATCAGTTGGCATGAGCAAACCGCAGTTCTCCTTGGACAGGTACCTAATCTTTGCCTATTCAAGGGCTTTTTTGTTGTTAGTGGAGGGTGATTTTTTGTCAAGAAGATTGACAAGAAGCTCGTGCTGGCCCTTGATTACACAAAATGAAGCAGATTCCTGAGGCAAAACCATGCCATTATCTCCATCAGACCAGCCTGTATTTTCCCTGGCCCATCATTAAACACTTCATTGCCGAGAGCCACACATCGCTGCGCACAGGCAGCGCCGCAGGCAGACAGCTTAGAAGAAGACTTTGGCAACTGCTGTGCCCGGCTCGAGCCGGTCACTGCTCTGCAACAGTATTTAAAACCTCTTCTGAAGGAAAGAGCGCCAAAGGCTGCGTTATTCCTATGGGCCACAGCACCATGAGTGGATACGATTGTACAGCTTCATAGCAACAAATCCCAATTTACCTACAAATTAGATATCCAGCTGGTGCCATCTGCCTGTCGGTGGTTACATATCACCCAGCCTCTACGGGAAGAGCCTGCAGTCTCTCCTCCATGCTCGGACTGCTGTTTCACACGTTGCGTTTTGACTGGGCCATTAAATAGCCCACGGCAGCAACTGGCTGTGTGGTCAGTGGTGAGTGAGGTGTCAGCTGGGGCTGGTGCCACCAGCACAGCACCCATGCTCCTCTGGACTCGCCCTGCCCAGGCCCCCTGAACCCCCTCAAACCCAGGGGAGGCATGTACGCTCGGCCTCGCAGAAAGATCAGCTCCACACTCTTTTTGTTTTACCAGCAGCAAAATAATTATAACGTACATACACAACATACAAGTTACACATGACCCGGATACAGTTTTTATTAATGAATGTCACTTTTTGTTATATACTGTGAAGGCATCTGACTACCGGAGTAACGTATTGCAAGGTGATTCATTGATTGCCATGCCATGGAGAAAGCCATTTGGCATTTTATACATTTAGGGAGAGCTGTGTCTTTGTAATCCATGCTGCGTCAGGCACCAATGCATAAATATACAGCAGTTTAAAATTTGCTCTTCTTCAGCAAGTCCTATCAGGTTATAAATAATTTTTACATATATATTTTAATATTTCATCACTTACCCTGAATATTTCACCTCATCGCAATACTAAAATATACATTAGTGCAAAGAGACACCATTTTAAGACTGGAACTAGAGGACAAATATATTAATCATTATGATAAGATACTAATTCTTTTCTATTTCTATAGATTATTTAAGAAAAAATATAATCTTAAGTTACAAATGAAAATCTTATTTCATATATGAGTTTTAAATTACAGTACAGAATCACAGAATCATATTCAGGTTGAAAGGAACCCTGGGAGGTCATTTAGTCATCTACTAGTCATCTAGTAGATAAACATCACATTTAATACAGTATAATCAGCTTTAGTAGATAAGTAATTCTTAATTAATACAGAGCACATTTCCTTTAAAATATTCTTACCAGTGACTGACATTATTCACATAGCAATAAAAACACAATTACAGCTGAAGGCAATGCAGGCCTAGAGAGCAGAGAAAAATGACCTCACTGCTTTATACTGAGGACACTCCTAATGTGGTGATTCACAATGCAGGCAAAATAACGTAGGAGTTTTTCCCACTCTCTATTTCTGCTAATAAACAATGTTGCTAATATTTTGCTAATTTATCTTGCTGAGAGAAAAATGAGAGGCCTGCAGATGTTCAATAATACCTTGGGATGAAACGCTGCCAGGGCCAGAGCCAGTTGCTCAAAGGAGACCCTCCAGCCAACCTGGAAGAGGCTCAGAGCACCAGCTCCAAGATCTCAGACCTTGGCAAAAGCAGCAATAAAGTGCTGGATTATTACACCAAAATGCTGGGATTTAAACTCTCCACACTCAACACAAATGGCATGCAAAGACCATCTTACTAAATTACCACAAGTTTCCAGCAGGTAAGCAGCCGGGCAGCAGCAGAGTGCCAGCTGTGTGCAACGGGGTGCCCCAGCCCTGCTGTGCCCATGGGTACAGGGCACAGGGTCAGGCACGCAGTTTTCTGACAACTGAGACATCAATGACATCCCAGTTCCTGCTCTCTGCTTTTTTACTGAGCAAATCAAAAAGAAGCGCTTTCGCCCTTCCATCTCTTCCCATCAGACGGCATGACCCCTGCAGCCCCTGGACATACCCTGCTGCTTTCCCCACTGAGAAAGACACAGTTCAGCTGAAGTTCCCCAAGGACATCCTGAAGTCAGATGCAGCCATCAGCAACCTGAGTAGTAGGTAAGTGATTTACCAAGAGCTCCCAGCAGCACAGATTCGTGTGCCCCTGTTCTTCCAGCTGCATCTGCTTGAGGAAAGGAGGTGTCCTTGCCCCCGGCGCTTCTTTGTGCAATCCTCCTTCATCTCTGCTCAGTCACGTTCCCTGCTCCAGTCAGGCATTGGCTCTGATCTCGCAACATCAGCACTAAATCCTAATTTGGAAAAGTAAACCATTTTGTTTCTTCCCAGTCTTCTCTTGGAGAATTTGACGTTCAGGGTCTGCCATCATTCCACGTCTTCAAAACATGCTTATACCTGTCCAACTCAGCGAGGGAAAACCAAGGAGAGGAAAGCATCTGTTCATCAAATAGTCCCAGGGAAAGTTGTCAGATAACTCCAACCACAGGAATTAAGGACTAGTCATAAACCAAATGTACTAAACCAGAGAAGATGATTTCTGGAAGCCATATGCTAGCAACCTCTTCTCGGTGTCAATGTCCTGCAGTATCAGGCAATGTAAATGCCTTCCTCGTGCTGAAAAAAATCACAACCTTGTGCTCTCTTATCTCAGATTTCCCAAGGGGATGCAAGAGAAAGGGCAGTGAGTGATGTATTCAAAGAGGCAGCTCTATTTATACCTTCTTTCGACCCTCTTGGAGTAGTAAGTAATGAAGAATATAGTAACAATAAAAGCAACAAATATGAAAGAGATAAAGGCTAATGATGATTTTCTGGTTCGGAAGAAGTGGCATTCAGGACACGAGGCAATCTCTTCGGGGCAGATCAGCTCAGGAGTTTCAGGACCAGGAAAACCATTATTGTCGATTATTTCTCTGAAATGTTTCATAGAAGGCTTTGGTTCGTATCGATTTGCAATGTAACTGTAGAGACCATATTTAGGAGCAGTCTTGTCATTAAAAGAATAGACAAAATATCCTTGCAGGTTAACGTTATCCAAGGTGTAAGCTGCGAAAGAAAAAAAGAGTTGAAGAAACGAGTAAATGTCACTTTGGCATTCAAGGGCAGTACCATACGGCACTACCTAAAGCAGAGGCAGGGGGATGTTAAACCGACATCTGCACTTCTCTTCCCAAAAATAAGGTAAGGTTGTGTTGCCATAAAAAGTAAGAATCTGTCAGCCACTGCCAGACAGTGTGATCTGCGAGTACCCTGCGATTTATTTCCTTGTGCTTGGTAAACACAGCTGTGAGTGCATGACTGCGTTTAATGATCAGCATGCAGCCTATCATGAAAAGATAGTGCACTCTTTTATGCATGAAAGAACACAGCTTTTGGTTTTCCTGCACCTGGATTTCTTCAACCTGTTTGTCTGATTGCTCTTTCTTCCTTGCAGAGCACCTCCTGATGGGGACGGCCAAGGAACGGAGCACATCAGGCTGCACTTCTCACCAGGCAAAGGCACGGTAACATCAGGAAAAGGCACGCCCATGCTAAGGTACTGGGATATTCCCAGTGCAAGTGGAAAGGTTATGCAGATCATAGTCTTCTCTTGTTAATGACCTGAGTTTCTCATCCACGATGACCTGTATTAGTCTTTACTGAGAACATGTCCACAACCCATACTGCTAACTTGGCGACGGGAAGAGGTCCAGCAGCTGGAGTATTAACTTTGAGCCGTCATTCCCACTTGACAAAACCAATCAATCCACAGTAGTAAATGCAAACTGTAATATTTATCTCTCAAAAATCACTGTTTTTAACAAATTAAAGCAACATCTTCTAGTAGATGAACACAGGGCTGAAAGCTAACAATTGCTGAATTTTCATATGCCTCTGGAAATAATTCTTTTTGCAGCCATATGCAAGACATTTAGCACCTCTAACCTACCTTTCATTGGTAAAATGAATAATATTTACCTGCCCTTTTACAGAGCTGCTACTCAGGATAATCTGTTTGTGTTTGTAAAACTGCATGTGGATGTAATGGTGTTACATAAATGGTTAATGCTGTTCTTTTGTTTTCAATTGGCAAAGATGTACTTTAACAGTGTACGAAGTACTTAAAAATATAGCCTCAGCTCAAAGGGTCCTGTACTGTATTCTGGAATCATTTATCCGCACAAACCTGTTGGCCCCCCTGGAACAACGCAGGTGAGCAACATTACACACACAAATGCTGCCCCACGCAGTTCCCTGAAACCAGCTGGAAAGAAGGCAGAACAGAAACTTTAAGGCAGGAACACGCACATGCCAAAGCCCCTCTTATTCCTCTCCAGTGTGACACTGAGGTAAGGACACAAGATTTGTAATTCATGTGTTAGTCACAGGGTCTTGCAGAAAAAATGCAAGTTTTAGAGAAACCCGAGTCAGTCATGATGCCAAAGTTAAGAGGGTTGCTCCCTGTGTAAGGACAAGATGGACAAAAGCACAGTTCCAGAGCGGGGGAAGAATAGAATGAAAAAGCTGGTATTACTGACAGACCAAAGACTACGGAGGAGTGTATGATGCCAAAAGTGGGAGAATGAGATTTAGGGCAAGTATTATGGCTAGTTAGCAGGGACATATTCATCCATGACAAGAAGGTGGAAAGGGAGGAAAATATGGCTTACAAGTGATACTTAAGTTGAAAAACATAGGAGCTATTTCCAGGCTGGACTGAAGAGGGGAGAAGGAAGTGATTGGGGGATACTGGTACGAACTGATCAGTACGAATTACAAAGTTCTGTAAAAACAGGGGGATGTGCAGCTGTTCTGGCTAAGAGGAACTGGGAGAAAAGCCCGTATCCATAGATGCTTTGAAAACAGAAGTGCCAAGAACTTGTACGGTCTAAAGTGGCAGGAAGGAGAGAAGCAATACAGAAAACCCAGATTTAAACCATAAGCCCCAATATAGCCAAGATACGATTTTTAACTACAGATGCAGAAAACATGCACCCAGTGCTTCAAAATGCTGGAGAAGGAACTCTTGGACATTTAATATTGATGTTCAGTAAATCCTGAAAGAGGTGGAAATTACAGAGGAGGAAGTTAAAGCCCATACTTAACAGAGTGGACAGGATGACCTACCAAATTATGGAACTGCCAGCCATCCTTCACTACCTAGCAAAAGAGTGGCATAGATTATATAAGGCTTGATAAATAAGAATTACAGGACATATATATGATTAATGCCAATCAGCTTACCTTTATGAAAAATAAATCTTGTCAAACTAACCTGACATCTTTTTTTATGAGATCAGCAGATCAATAAAAGTAACGATGTTTGATGTAATATACTTAGAACTTCACAAGGCAACTGACTTTGTATTATATGGCATTTGGATCAAGAAACAGAATGTTACAAGGTCAAGGGGAGCGCATAATTAACAGACTTCAGCTGGTCTCAAACAGAACTGGTAAGTCTATAAATGGAATTGCTGGTAAGTGTCACAGAAAGTGTGTTTCTACTGCGATCATGGAGATTGGCTTTTAGCACTAAGATATTTAATGATCTTAAGTGTATCAGTGAAAAGTAAAACTGAAAGGAAAGTAAAACTATTTCTCACGAAGTCTGCAAATAACACAAAGATTAGGGACACAATTTAGCTAGTGTAGTAAGCTTTGCACAAGGCGGCAACTGGCACTTGGACGTGACCAAATGTGAGGATGTCAAAGAACAAGCAGACAACAATACTTAGGCAAAGGGAGTTATGCCTGGGTGGCAGGAATCCGTAACCGAGTTTGAAATCTCAGTAGATAACCACAGAGTGTGCGTAACCAATTAGGCCAAAAGGGCTAATTGGCTGCTTAGACGTAGGAAAGAGGAGTACAAGGTTATGCTATACCTGCCTGAGATGTAGGTGTGGCTGCGGTAGGAACAGTATGTCCAGGTCTGGCTTTATCCCTCTCAAGAATTCTGGCAAAGGGGAAAAGTTTAATAACTGAAAGGTTCTACATCATGTTTTATAGTAAGGGACACAAAGAGTTTTGTCTGTGCTATTTACCAAAGAGATAAATAAGAGCTTGTTTTCTGTCTGTGAATATCTATACAGGTAAAATACATGGAAATGCAGAACAAAATGGCTTAAAGCTGAAGCTAAAGAAATTAATACTAGAATTAAAATTTATATGTATCTATACACACACTTATATAAAAAAACAGTAAATAACTGGCCACTGCAACAGCTTACAGTGAGATGTAGAAGACTCTTCATCAGTAAAAATTATCTCATTGGGGTCTTACGCTTTTCTTAAAAAACAGCGTGTGTTGTATGACTCAAAATGCCTCCTTTTTGCCTTATAATTTATGAATCTCTGAGACAGAGAAAAAAACTGGTTTGGGTTCTGAATAGCAGGAAAAAGTCCAGGAAATGGCATAATGAGATAGATAGCTGAACTATTATGAAGATCACTGTTGGATAAGATCACTGTTGGATAAGATACAGAGACAGCTGAGGAACAGAACTCAGACCCAGCCCTGAGGCACATCAGCGGAGAGAAGCAACAAAGAAAAACAACAGTAGATGTGCAATAAGAAAATCTGACTAAATAATTGTGGAGCTATTCACATATCTACTTAAATTTCTTGAATCCACAAAAAAATTCTGCTGTCTTATGCAGAATATGTGCAAGGTCAGTCTTTCTCATGTTTAGTAATACCAATCAATCGTAAATCAAAGGAAAAACTATCTGTTATGCTGTACTAACATCTCATTTATGGAATATTCTACACAGGATTTCTTTTTTTTTAAGTTAAACATACTGTATCACACAGGGTATACTAATACTGAGATTCGTGACATATAAACCGTCTATGGTTCCTTACCTTTTAAAGCTTCATTGATGTAATTCTGTATGTAATACACTCTGAGCTTATCATGCACCATATTCTGGTCATCATCAATTCCATTAGCCATAACATAAATTGGGACATCGCCATACTTTGCTTTAACCCACTTGAGCAATTTACGCAGTCCCCAGGGCACTACTGCAGCTCTGCTGGGGGAGTGCAGCCATGTGATGTCATTGATCATTTGAACTTCAAGATAGTGGTCATATTTTAGTGCATCTTCTTTCTCCCAGCCCACAAGGGTAGCAGTGTAGTGACTCAAGGCAAAAAAATCAAATGAGCCCTGGATTAACTTCTTTTCGTCTTCTGAGAAATAAGGCAAGTGGAAATTATACAGGTCAACACTATTTCTTTGGTGAAGCCATGCTCTCATCACTTGTGGGTAGTCACCATTTCCAAAGATGGGCTCTGCAAGCCAGCCAATGTCGAACTCTAAAATTCTGTCAGCAACTTGTTGGTCATTCCTGGAAAAGGGACAAGCTGGTTCTACCCAGTCGGCTTGCAGAGCTATGGATATCTTACCCTTCTGAGATCTCCTGAATTCTTTGTCATAAAGATGCCATGCTTTTGCATGGGCTTTCAAAAGGTTGTGCCCTGCAGTGTATGTCAAGTTTTTCACTGGCGGTTCATTCATTGTGATCCAAAATTTGACATGGTCCCCAAGACTTGTAAAGCAGAATTTGGCATACTCAACAAAAGCCTGAACAGTTTCTGGGTTTTCCCAAGCTCCGTATTTGGCAAGGGAAACTGGAAGCTCTTGGTTCTCGGTCATAGGTTGCCATAAAGCAACAACAGGAGTTATGTTAACTCTGAGAAGTTCACTAGCAAAACATTGATAATAATGTACAAGCGTGTGGTTGATCAGAGAAAGATTACCTAAAGGAAGGATTAAAGACCATTTCAGTGAAAAATGGAAGTGTGTGACATGCATTTCCTGCAGAAGAGAGATCTGAAGCCTGATAGCAGCAAAGTCAACACAGTGACGCTTGCGTTTCGAGGTGAAAACTCCATCCACTTTAATAAGCTTCTTCGTCTGGTGAACATCCCACACATAAACATTAGAGTCAAGAAATTGGGCGGGTGTTGTGTCTACCTAGGTAGAATAAGAAACATACCAGATTCAAGCTGTTTGTTCTAGGTAGGTTGGAACATCATAACCATCAGGCACAACACAGTGGAAAAATATTATAGGTCAAAATATTGCATTTAGCACCTCTCTCGCATCTCTGATACGGTAACATCTCTGGGTCATATGAATGAATTAATCTTCTGTTTACACGTGACACCAGAAAAGTACCAAATCTCATCCTACTTTCCAAACAAGCTTATGCTAATGGTCACCATGTTTATGTCTTCTCCAGACTGCACCAGTCAGTATGGGGAACAAGCGATTGCTCAGGGATAAGGCACTAAGCCTGCAACAGATCTCCAGAGAAGCAGATCTTCAGCAAAGACTACAGTAATTTTTAAAATGTTTTTCTTTCAAGATTAAGAAGCTACACCGAAGGGCCTACGGAGAGACCGTCTGTTGTAAATTACCCAGTAGCTTCTGTTTCAAAACCACTCCCTGGACGCAGTAAAAGAAATAATGAATGCAACATCATTTCTGTGTTCTTTTCCTGACTATGCTGAAAGATGAATAATGCTCTGTACTTGATTTTTAGCATGAATTCAGCTGACAAGCAAAATTTTTCCTTCTTGCTAACGATGTCTTTTTTTATTTAACTCATACCGAACTCATTTCCAAGCTACTTCAGCAGGCTGTTGATGTCTGAATCAATTTTTTTTCGGGCCTCCAAGTAAACCCACTATATGTCACCCTAACAATATATGCATTTCCCTTAAGTCATTAGGGCTTCAGATGTCAGAATTGCCTGTATGACATACTGGACACAGAAGAGGATATGCTTGTCAGGGTCCCACAGAATTCTACTTTCACTTTTTAATGAATATCACAAACACAATAAAGACTAGAAAATGAAAAAGTGAATTACTTAAAATGATGCACAGTGTAAAATCTCCTCATTCACACTCTAGAATAACTCTTAGAAGAAAGATCCAAACTACAAGATACTAGTGTGTTTATTTGTTCTTTTTTCCTTTTTTTTTTTCCCTTTGGTGCATGGTTTCCCCCTGAGTTCAGATTTCCTTGTCCTGCCCTCTGTTTGAAAAGCAGGTGTCAGCCTACAACCAGTGTTCAACTTGTAGCTGAAGTTCTGCGGACTGTATAAAGAAACTGCTGAAAATCAGTTGCTATTTTCTCCGGAGAGGTCAGTACTGTGCTTAGAGAAAAAGTAATAAAAAACAGCATGTCTGAGGGAAATTGCTTTTCTGGAGAATTGTTCCTTGTAGATTACTAAAGCATGTATTTCCACTAATACTGTGGGAATGCTGTCAAAAGAGTTTTTCCACTGTGATGCATCTACAAATCATAGTACCTGAGCCTCACAGCACAAAATATTTGAACGGCCTTTTGAAATGAAAATATTCAGCTTTGAAGGTTTTGGTTATGGGAGGGATTTTTAAACTGTCTTGGGTTGACTGACGCCACAACTTTATAGCTGTTATCGATGCCAAAGGCGGCAATTCCATTTCCAATCCCTAATCTATCTGGGAGCTAGGAGGAAAATGACTGTTGAATTTTCTTGGAAATTGGTGTACCAGATAAGGAGGTTGCAGTATTTTTAAGAGAACAAAGTCAGATCTTACTTTTGGAGTGAGAAAAAACAAAGAAGCCCCCTATACGCTAGCCTTAAGAAAGATTACGTCTTTGTGGAAAATCTAAATTAAAATTTCTGTTCTTGGATCCAGCCTCAGAGTTGAATTTAACTACACCTCTTTACTGTGGTTAGAGAAGCCCTGCAAGCCAAAACAGTATATAAGAATTACAGCCAAACTGTTAAAGAGACCGCAACTAAGCTACAATTTTTACTCATGCTATAAGTCTTAAAATTTGAAAGATTCTCCCAAAGTACTGGATTTAATTGAAATAAAGACTGAGAGCTATGAACGGGATCCATGATCTAGCTAGGTGCACTGAAGGCCTCTGTCAGACACAGTACTACACAAAGGAGGAATACAAAAATTTCATCTACATCTAATATTGTTTACTTTTTTTTTACACAAAAGGCCTCTAACAACAGTACCAGGATATATACGTATAAGATGTAGAAACACACCACTGGAGTTTTAAGAGCTTTCAGGAAGTTTTCTAAAGCATATATTATCACAGCAGACAAATATATTACCATTAAAATTACAGACATGAAAGAGCAGTAGTATTTCATAAATTAGGACATTTGGAACTATACTCTAGCAGATCCAATCAACTTCCATTCAAAAAGGACTGGCTTCCAGTAACTGATCACATAACACATCCAGGGAAGATGAGCATCAGACCCCTTTCAATTTCCATATGTTTTTCCAAAATGTTATTTATTGTATCTCAATCTGACCGGATATCCCTGGTCACATGCAAAAAAGTCTAGTGAAGACTGAACGACGCAGTGTTTGGCACAAAAGCCCTGTACCCATCTCCTTGCAGCACTGTGGTAATATATATTGGCAAAGACACTCTATCCAGCAAATTTATCAATATGAACTTGTGCACTGATCTGGCAGGACAGCCTGTCAGCTTTATCAGCAGACTCACCTGAATGTAGTTGTCAACAATTCCCCAAGCAAAGCCACAGGGGAAAATCCCTTTTATGGGCTGGTTTTCAGGCAAAGGTGGGAATCCATTTTTTTCTATCAGCTTTTGATAGAACAAGACAGAAGATTTGGGCATCAACTTCTTGTCGTGGCTTTGAAAATCAACATAAAACAATCCACGTCGAATGCTGTATCCCCTGTGCCATTCAAAGCCATCCAGGAGGGACCAGACTGTGTAGCCAAACACATTAACTCCGTCATACCGGATGGCTGAGGAAAGAACAAAGCCAAACTTATCGCAGTGCTCATTGTTCCTCTGTAGATTACACCGTATCAGCAGTATTTGTGGTACTCGTGTAAGAACAATGCAATAGGTCAGATAAGTATCTCAGGGCCTGTCTCAAAGCCCGTTCAGGGAAGCTATTTCAGCTGCACTCAGGCAGCTGCCAGGGCATAGGTGCACTGTGCAAGGCAGTAGAGGTACCTGGCTTGGCTTTAAACAAGCCAGATTTAGAAAGAGAAGCAGCGTAGCAGCGGTTTGAGCAGTGCTGCTGATTAGGTGTGCCAAACCTCAGCCTCGGAGCAGAGCACGCTACATTTGAACTGTTTGCAGCAACTGAGCTAGTAACTGCACTGCGCTCTGCTAAGCACCCGCTGCAGCTCGCGCTGGGGTAACCTAAGCGTCATTAATGCAGCACTACCCTGGAAGCAAACAGAAGTTATATATATCATTCCCCTCCACTACAAAAACATACTGAGAAAACCTCGACAACATTTTTGATGTGCTGATAAATTTGTATTACCACAGATTTTAAGCAGAAGTGATAATGCAGGAAGAGCCTCTTTATTTGATAATTCTCTTTACATCTTTTATGGCATAGTATTTTCCAGCTTAAATATTAAAGGGTTTCTAAAAAATGTCTACATTTTAGGTCAACTGTTTGACCTTTAACAATCACCACACACTTTGTAGACAAAAATCGGGGTCTACTGGCATCTGTTAGTTTTGCCAGCTTTTATAGTTTTGAGATTCCAAATAATACTCACTTTTAGTTGTATTAAACACTGAGATTCAGCAAAATGTTCCTGGGCAAGGCCCGGCTTCAGGAAAGCACAAAGGAGTGTGCTTATTTTAATTACCTAAGTAGACCCACCCTAATTCAGCAATGCATTTAAGCACATTCTTAAATGTTCTTTTGAACTTGAGTTTGGCTCCATAGCCAGCAGAGTTTATCTTTATTACTCACCATCTTCTGTCAACCCAAACTGGGTACTGACTGAACATAATATTTTCCAGCCTAGTCACACTGAAAGCGTTATTTCAGGCAACCAGAATATCAAGATCCTCATTTCCTGGTTTTATTAATGTACCTTATTACAATCATTTATGAAGGACCACATGGATTCTTGATTGCAACCCTGTTTGAATCAATTAAATGAACTGCAGTTAAATAAGCAATGCATTTGGCCCAGTCTCTATCAGAGGTCATGAGAAAATGTCTAAGGAAATGGAATATTTCTCCTCCTAAAGGCATCATTCTTTCGTATTTGGCAAATGCCAGTATTTTTCTAACCTCTGCATGCATCCATGATGACATCTGTCGTACCAGCAGAGTAAAAGCCAATACAGGTCCACTTTGTGAACTGGTCTCAGTGAGAATTTCTCTTTGAACAGCATCTCATCCCTTCTGTAAGTCATCACACAGCATTCCCACACTTCCTGAGCACCTCACAAAAATTCTCCTCAAACCCTTCTTTAAAAATGCATTCACTTTTAAGTGTCACCTATGAAAGAAGTAACTTGACAAATTTTTGGAAGTTCCAAAAAGTTTGGAAGTCTCAAACATAGTATCCCATACAAATTGCATGTTACTGAAAAAGCACAATGAAAATTATTGTCTTTTTCTTCTTCCTTTGTCTGTCTCCCCTCTTTTTTACGTCTGTTGGTGTGCAAGCCAGGTTGACTGCAATCTAAACCATCTGTGCTTCTGAAACTGAGTGGCCTTGTCCATACTACCTACTGGAAATAACTCCTGACTTTAGCAATCCCCCACAGTGTGCCTACTGTGCAGGCCAGAAGTCTGCCAGAACTGGGTTAAAAATTAAACAGCACTCCAGTTCATGCTCTGTTTAGCTCACTAGTGTATAGATAGTCCAAGGAAACATGGAAGACCCATAAGCATCAAATACAGATCCTTAAAACCTTCTGCTCAGCTGCTGTCCAACCACAGCCCCTGCTTCCATGTGGAAGGTGCCCAAAGATCTGCACTTTGCCTCTTGACATACCTAAGAATAGCTTGGTCCTGACCTGTAAGGGGCCTGGCTGTTCCCCTTCTCCTTAAGACTCTTTGAAATCAGACCTGCTAACTCCCCAGATAATGACCTAACCTCTCGACTAGTCAACATGGCACAGAGGAGCTTGCATGCCCTCCTGGTCAACATGCTCCACTTTACAAGGAATAATCAATTTATTTGTTGCACCAGAGACAAAGCAGGGAAGTGAACATGGCTCTGGAGTAAGTGGTTAGATACCCACCCATGTGAGAAGATATCTCCAACCAATTAGCAAGTATAATTGATATTTAACTACTTTGTATTACAGCTCTATTTATTCAACCCCAAATGATATTTAGGAAAAAAAAAAAAAAAAGGAAAGATCAATAATAGTAAACAGTAAAAAAGAATTAGGGTTGTGATCCCACATAAAGAAACTCTTCCCTAGAGGAAAAAAAAAAAAGATTAAAAAAAAAAGATGTATGGAGCTTGTCTACAGCATGCAGCATCAGAATGGGATCTACATCAGCACTTCAACTGAAATCAGGAGCACACTTTTGAGCAAATCTCCTTCCTCATCACACCTCAGTTCACATCACTGAGTGGTCTCTGGGTTCCTTTGGGGTGAAATTAGCCAGAAATGGGCTTCAGGAATGCACACTGTGTGAACACCAGGCCCTCAACACCAACTCTTTTTACTCTACAGGCTTGCTCCGACAGGGCTGCACTTACTTCCTAATGCAGATACAGAAATAAGCATTTTTTTCTGGACCAATGCATATACATTATCAGGCAAAGATATTGGCCAGATCTAGGAAGCAGCAAAAACACATTTATGTGGGCCTGGGTCTACATTGCTTCTCAGTGCTGTAGCTTCAATGCCATTTTACTGCCCTGTGACTGCTGGAGTGAATCTGTTGGTAACTAGCTCTTCAATCTTACACATTACAGAGCTTTAGTGCACTGGATAGACGTGTCCTAAGTCTGCGAGAGAGACAACATGTGCCTTTGTCCTTGGTCTTTAATGTTGTCCAACAAGACTGCTCACAGCCAATATGATGTCTTTTGTGGATCTTTCTGAACTAAATTCCCCTAGGTGTTGCACAGAGAACTTTGGTATTTACACTGGATTTTGCAGATTCCAACAGGCAGCAAAAGTTGGGTGCAATAATTTTCTAATACGCAGAAGAGTTGGGTGCAATAATTTTCATCAAAACGATGCCAAAGTCCCTCCTGCAGATACAGTCTGTCTCTGCTTTTTTTCTTCTGTAAAAAGTTTAGCCAGAGCAGTAAACTGTAGACAAGTAAATCAATTACTAAATTGTAAATTAAGAAATTAATAGTCCACCATATGGACAATGAAAGTGGAAATGGGAACCCAACAACTTATTGGTGACTACTAGGATTGAAAAAATCTGTTTTGCCACAAGGAAACTGAAAAATAGAAAATAAACTCTCACACAAGTTAGTATATTTCTCTTGCTGTTTGGAAAAAATAATAGGTTAACAATTTAAACAGTTTAGATTATATAACCTCAAATATTCGGTTCTCCTTAACCTGATGTAAATTCAGATTATGGTGATTGATGTCCAGAGCAGTACCAATGCAAAATTTGTGCAAGGGCAACACTGACAAGCAGAATGAAAAGGTTCCAATTTTTCATTTAAAAATGTATTCTTTCAGCCTTATGTTTTATCCAGACGAACTCTTACTGCATAGTATTTACCTTCTCACATATCTATTCTTACATCTTGTATATATGCATTTATATATCTAAGATATGGAAAACAACTATTAATAAATAACATAGTAAATTTCCCTAAGTCCACTGAGAGCATAGTTCACCCATGTCTTGCACTTCCTCCCACCAAAGACAGTAGAAATTTTCCTACTGACTTCAAAGACAGCAGCATCAAGCTCACCAAATGCTATCTGCAGCTATTAAGGGTCTTCAAGAGCTGAAATGAACAAACCCAGGAAGGGGATTTGGAGTCTTATTTCACAAGTGCCAAGATGAATGTTAAAGACTAAAATTAGTTTTCAGCCTGGTTCTTTACCACGTCTCTGTAGGTTATTTTGCATTACGATTTTGTCAAGCACATGTTAATACAACCTCAGTCCTACCTTTTAAAGTTTCCATAACGAACTTTTTGAGATAGTAAATGTATTTGGCATCATCTCTCTTGGTGCTACCAGAAACAAACCAGCTGTTCTCCACAATGAATATTTGGGGGTTGTTATATTCACTGCTTATCCAGTAAAGGAGCTGCCTCAGGCTTATTGATTCCAACTGCTGGAATTTCATGTGGGAGTCCAAGAGCTGGAAACTCAGAGTAGCTCCAAAAGAAAGAGCAAAAAAGTCTGCTGTTCCCTTGATATACTTCTTCTCAACTTCACTGAATTCAGGCAATAGAGACGAGAGGTTACTCCTCATGCTCTCTGGATAGTCACCATCAATAAATATGGGCTTAGCAAACCAGCCAAGCACGAAATCAAGGGATTTTTGACATTCTTTTATGTTTTTTTCAGACATACGTTGAGGTTTTATCCAGTGGGAGCTAAGGGCAATGGACACTTTTCCTCTTTGAGTTGGACGAAAATGGTCATTGTAGAGATGCCAGACTTTAGCATGGGCCTGTTGAAAAGAAAGACTGTAATTAATGCACCTGAAAATCCATTTTAAGTAACAGAATTAGTCTCAAGTACTGAGGTCCAGCGTCACGTCCGAACCACATAAACATGGCATTTGAGGGCTCAGCCTTATTCATTCATCAGCAGTTTACAACTCCTAAATTAACTTTTCTTTAGTACCATATTAATACCATATATCAACTAGAAATCGCTAGTTGGTTGGGGAAAACAGCATCTCAGTTTTCTATGAGATACTATTCCAGGCACTGAGCACACTCTTGGTAGTTAACTAGACGCCTTTATTAACTTTCATTATTGAGTTCAGACATACTTCCAGTATTTACAAAAATGAAAATGCATTTACCTAAACATCTTTCAAAGTATGTTTTCATTATAGAAATATCACTTTATCTGTAGATTCACAGATACATAAAGAAGAAAGGTCTATTCTTAGGAGCTTGTCCAAATCTCTCAAACAATACGAGACAAAGAAACACCCTTGAACTTACTCTTCTTTGAACCAGAACACACAGTATAGGAAAAATTACTAATCTGGATTTTAGAAAGTCTGGTGAAAAACAATTTACCACAGCTCCTGAAAAGTTATTCCAACAATTCAATTTAATTTGTTTTATTAAAATTTGCTATTTACTTCTAGCATCAGATTTCAACTACTTGTCTTGGTAAAATTTTATCTGTTACTGTGAGGAGATGTTTTCTACCACATTTTTTCCCATGATCTTACACAGTCAGTTGAAATAGTCTCTTGATGTTCCCTTTGCAAGCTAAATAGATTAAGTTCCTGGAGCCTCGCATTATCTTCGGGCATAGCTTCCAGCCCTCTAACCATTCTCACTGCTCTTCTCTGATTCTCTTCCAATTTGTCATCATCTGTCTTAAACTGCAGAAGTAGAATTGGACATAATATGCCAGTGGTAGTCTTGCCAGCAGTAAAACCAGAGACAATTATTTAATACACTATTTCTGCTTATGTGGCCATAGCATTACACTGTGATCATATGGTCATCTAAACTACCATAATTCCAGAGTCTTTCACCATATAAAACATATTTTTTCTTTGCACCTACCTTATCAAAGAATTTTGACTGCTCTATGAATCAACATCCTATCTTTTAGTCATCTCCACATTAGTAGAAATTGTAATGCTTTTTTCAAGGTCATTGATAAAAAGGTAAAAAATATGAGATCCATTCATTAGAATAAAGCCTACTTGATAACTATTCCCAGTTTACATTTGCATTTTGAGACTTATCAGTTAATATTCATTCATATGTGCTGTGATGACATGAACCTCCATTCTTGCCATACAAATTCACAGGTGTGATGAATATATATGACAGATTATTAATCAAAATGTCACAGGCATTTTTAGCCCTCTCTGGAATATAAGCTGTGTAGAAAGCCTTATAATTCCACTCCATGAAGTTGGTATGCTGGTAAATTTTATCATTAATGTATTGATATCTGCTGTTCACAGTTTCCTTTTCATACACTCTTACCATTCAGGCTTTGAACTGCAATGATTTCCAGTTGCCAGCATTGTTAGAAACATTAAACAATTAAGATTATTAATCATTTTTGACACAGACACTGTTAATTACCCAGGAAAAAAAATGAATTCTATCATTCTACTGTTCTTGCAGAAATTTAATTCTCACTGCTGGGAGAAAAACAATTGGAAGTGAAGGACAACTAAAGGTAAGATCAATAATCAAGGCTCATTTCAGCTGCCCACATACAGAAACCTGCTGCCTTTGAGTTATCATGGGGTATATAAAACATCTGTGCAGATCAGACACCGGCTCCAGAGGAGACTGAACCCATGCCCTTTTAGAGTGGTCAACAAAACCCAAAGAGAACAATCTTGGAAAGTCTGAACCACAGTACACACCTACGTGTATCTGAACCAAGCTCTCAGTTGCAAACTTCAACATACGTGCTCTCATTCATAATACATCAATAGCTCAAATGAATGTGATGCAGTCCTACCATCTGTCTATATTAATACAATGGATTTTGATGCTAGTGAGAAACTAAATATAATAACCACTTCAAAGTCTCATGTCAAAAATGAAAGCTGACCTAAGCACAAACTTAATTTTACTTTACACTAAAGCTCCATTACACTGATGAAAGAACAAAAAGACATTACACTCCATGACCAGAACGCTACACACCCACCACTTAAATATGATTTTAAAAATTCCATTGGGAACAAATGTGCCACCACTTGCAACTTAAATTTGCACACCTAAATTTTCCCTCATGAAGTTGCCGTATGTTCTTCTTCTGTTGAACCTGAGTCATCTCCAGATTTCCTGCCTCAAATGTTAAGATACCACCATGCACAAACACACAACTTCATTTTTGTCATCTGTACTTGCAGCTACGCTGCCCACCCACAGAGCACCTTGAGGACTATGGAGGACTTGCCCCATAACTCCTGGTCCTTTCTACTCTTACCGAGGGAAGAGATATTCCAGCATTTTAGTATCCCTGCTTCTACCATGAAGCAAGGAGGAAGGGAATCCCATGGGTTACCCCTCTCCACAGATAAGGAGGTGCTGTTTACTCCCTCATTGCAATGAAAAAATATGAAGTGTAACAACATGGGATTATCTTATTCAACTGTGCTTTCTAAGCATGTCATCTAGTCTGCCGCTACAGAAAATGAGAAGACTAGTGTCTAAGATGTGCAGGGTGAGTCACTCTTTGGGAGTCCATCTCTCTCCACTGGTGACAGACAAAAACCTGTTACTTAGTTTAGACATGTCACGTTCTACAGACTGATGTAAGCAGGCAAGAAGAAGCCCACTTAAATGTCTGCCCCCTGGAGTGTGCATGAAGTGGAATTATACTATTTCCATAAAAAAAAACAGCTAAACATAGAAAATAGTGCATCAAAGTCCCCAGGCTCTGTGGACATAGATTAACGAAGTAGTTCAGAAATGCACAGAAATAAAGCTGGAAGAAGCCAGTGACAGAGCAGAGTGTCTCTATGGAAATCTGGGACAGAATTAATTTGCCTAACATTAGGTATCTAATGCAGTTTCAGAGAATTCAGAGTATTCCAGACTCTACCTGCAGTTTCAGAAAGCTATGAGTCTCCCATAAACCCTAAGACAGAGACACCTGGGATACTACAGGATGTGTAAAATGATGATTTGTACCCATACCTATCTTCAGGCAAATGAATCTCACTCCTAGAGTAAGACTCATTTTGAACTGAAGACACCTTGTATTTCGATGTCCACATATGAACTAGATGCCCAAGCCCCCACCTGGCAAATGGAGATCCCAGGCTCCACACAGCTGCCTGAACACAGGCATCTAGTTGCCACTCCAGAATGATACAGGCCTATGTCACATCTGCTATTTCCATGCAGATGTCCAAAAAGCCTGGGAAGCTTCACATGGTACTACTTACACTGAGCTAACAGGATCCCACTCCAAGTCAATCTACTTAATGCACTGAGTCTAATGAGTAATTCCTCAGTACAGTACAGCAGCCATACCGTGGCACTCAGCAGGACCACTACCCACATCCCAATAACTGTATGGATTAGTAGTAGGATTTCATGAAGGTGCCCAGACCTTTTTGAGATGTCTTATCTGGCAGACATGATTAAGGACCCAATGAGAGACTTTGCTCTTCTGGAGCAGCAACTGGAGGCCAGGCAGAATATCCTAAGGTAGCTCAAGTGACACTATACACATTTGCTGGGACAACTGAAACCTTCTAGATGTCTATTAACTGTAGTCAGAGTTTAGCCTCCCAGATCACACACAGAGAAAACAAGTAGGAACCAACCCACCATCAGTGCCTTTATATTTATCTGAAATCTTACTTCCTGATCTCAGTGACTTGCCTGTTGGTACCTATTTTTAGTTCACAGCTGACTAGGATTAAGATCATGACAATCCAGACTACAGTGCTTTTACTGACACACAGCATAATGACTCCACGTCTCTGGTTTTGCAAGGTGCTAAGGGGCCTTATTTTGGTCCTTGTTAGCTTGGACAGATGAGTGGTGCTGACAGATCACTTGGCTGGACTGGAAAACCTTACTAAAAAAGGCTGGTTACAAACCGGCTCTAGGAAGAGTTGTTTACTCACCCAAGTGTTATGCACAGAACTAACTGCTAAAACCTGTGTGCTGGTTTCCACGCTGCTTAATTTGGGTAGTCTTGTCATTATTTCTTGTTTCCAGAGAGTAGCACATATTATTAGATACCAAATACTTGACTGACACTTTTTGGGGGGATACTACCCTACATTCTTGAACCTGCTGAGACTAAGCTAAGCTGAGCTAAGTTGGTATTGGAAAAGCTGCAAAATTAGGATGGGGGCTCTCTGTACTAACTACTGTCTATTTGTGGTGGGTTGACCTTGGCTGGATGCCAGGTGCCCACCAAGCCACTCCATCACTCCCCTCCTCAGCAGGACAGGGAAGGGAGAAAAATAAGATGAAAAAAAGCTTGTGAGTCAAGATAAAAGCAGTTTAATAAAGCAAAAAAAGGAAAACAAAAGATTTTTTCTCTACTTCCCATCAGCAGGCGATGTCCAGTCACTTCCCAGGAAGCAGGGCTTCAGTATACATAGCAGTTGCTCCAGAAGACAAAGGTCATAAATAAAGAATGCCCTTCCTCTTAGTTTTTATTGCTGAGCAGCCATCATATGGTATGGAATATCCCTTTGGTCAGTTTGGGTCAGCTGTCCAGGCTGTGTCCCTTCCCAAGATCTTGTCCCACCCCCAGTCTACTGGTGAGGTGGGCTGTTGGAGAGACAGCCTTGGTGCTGTGCCAGCCCTGCTCAGCAGTAGCCACAACACCGGGGTGCTACCAACACCTTGCTGGCCACCAACACACAGCACAGCGCTGTGAGGGCTGCTGTGGGGAAATTAACTCCATCCCAGCCAGACCTACTACTGTTCAAGAACAGACAGACCATCAGGAAAGCTTTTAAACAGCCTTTACCTTACC